AGTTGTAGTTGTAGTGTTGTGGAGTGTAGTGTAGTGTAATGTAGTGTAGTGTAGTGGAGTGTAGTGTAGTGTAATGTAGTGTAGTGTAGTGAAGCGAAGCAAGCGACATCTGAACCTCCAAAAGTGGTCCAAACTCCTGGTGTTTTTAACATGTTGACTTCGAAATGTGCTTTGCGGGGAAGAGGAACGAACGGACCTCCAGAACCAACCTACGCGGCGAAACGGACCTGACCAAAACAGAGAACAAACCTAAACCCCACGACACATTACGGAGAGGCACGAAGGGAGAATTAGGGACCAAATGGGGGACTAGTTAATGGCAAGCGAGAGAAACCAAAACAATTAATTTAAAACAGGACTCAGCTCCTACACCTAGAGGTCGTGCGTTACTCCCTTGCCGGGACGGTAGTCAGGTCAGCCACAAGGGCTTATAACGGCTATACGAGTTCCATTGAATTTGGTGCACAATATGTTGGACCTCACCAGAAAACCATCAAAAGAGAAAAACCACACCTGGAAAGCATGTGCCTGTTGCCTTCTGTTGGGGTTCTTGGCTTAGCCCCTTGCCACGTCAGTATAAATCACAGGAGTCATTGACATATAAACCAACAGCAATAATATATAGAAGCAGCAGTGACAAAAAAGGAGTTTCTGGTTGTTCCGATTGGCTTCACTCAGAGAAGACAACATTTCACCAGGGTTTTCAAGGGACCGCAGGAACGGCAGGACTTCCCGAAAATGGTGCACAACAGAAAGGCTGACTGTTTCGCTTTACTTAGATGAATTACCAAATGAAAGTGTGTAAATTCGATGGTCAGGACAGTCGACAGTCACCCTAAACAGGGTTGCCTCCAGTGGCGCTATGGCACCTTGTTGGAGCCACCATAGGTATTACACTAGACAAGAATGGATCTTTGAATAGATCCGTCAGGAACTGAGTCCTGAAACATGCAATTAGATTGTTTATTAGATTGTTTATTAGATTGTTTATTCGGGTTCTTGGCTTAGCCCCTTGCCACGTCAGTATAAATCACAGGAGTCATTGACATATAAACCAACAGCATTAAGAGTATAAAGAGCACGTCAGTAAAAATCACAGGAGTCTTTGACATATAAACCAACAGCGTAAAGAATATAAAGGTGCAGGTACGTCAGTGCTGGCCGGGCACTGATATCACGTCCACTTGGTGCGGTCTTTGTTAGAGCAGGCACACCAATTAACCCTCATCCCCCTGCGTTATTAAAAAGGGAGAGGACAGAAGGAAGAAAAGGAAGAGAAAGTTTTACATCTATGAAAATGTTACACACACACACACCCGGCCGGAGCCGGGTCAACCCTGAAAGGCAAGAGAAAGAAAAAGCGGACACAGACGACGGGCAAAAGGCCAAAACAGCGCAGGGAGGGGAAGGGGAACGAACGGACCTCCAGAACCAACCTACGCGGCGAAACGGACCTGACCAAAACAGAGAACAAACCTAAACCCCACGACACATTACGGAGAGGCACGAAGGGAGAATTAGGGACCAAATGGGGGACTAGTTAATGGCAAGCGAGAGAAACCAAAACAATTAATTTAAAACAGGACTCAGCTCCTACACCTAGAGGTCGTGCGTTACTCCCTTGCCGGGACGGTAGTCAGGTCAGCCACAAGGGCTTCTAACGGCTATACGAGTTCCATCGAATTTGGTGCACAATAGGTTGGACCTCACCAGAAAACCATCAAAAGAGAAAAAACCACACCTGGAAAGCATGTGCCTGTTGCCTTCTGTTGGGGTTCTTGGCTTAGCCCCTTGCCACGTCAGTATAAATCACAGGAGTCATTGACATATAAACCAACAGCAATAAAAGTATAGAAGCAGCAGTGACAAAAAAGGAGTTTCTGGTTGTTCCGATTGGCTTCACTCAGAGAAGACAACATTTCACCAGGGTTTTCCAGGGACCGCAGGAACGGCAGGACTTCCCGAAAATGGTGCACAACAGAAAGGCTGACTGTTTCGCTTTACTTAGATGAATTGCCAAATTAAAGTGTGTAAATTCGATGGTCAGGACAGTCGGCAGTCACCCTAAACAGGGTTGCCTCCAGTGGCCCTATGGCACCTTGTTGGAGCCACCATAGGTATTACACTAGACAAGAATGGATCTTTGAATAGATCCGTCAGGAACTGAGTCCTGAAACATGCAATTAGATTGTTTATTAGATTGTTTATTGGATTATTTATTCGGGTTCTTGGCTTAGCCCCTTGCCACGTCAGTATAAATCACAGGAGTCATTGACATATAAACCAACAGCATTAAGAGTATAAAGAGCACGTTAGTAAAAATCACAGGAGTCTTTGACATATAAACCAACAGCGTAAAGAATATAAAGGTGCAGGTACGTCAGTGCTGGCCGGGCACTGATATCACGTCCACTTGGTGCGGTCTTTGTTAGAGCAGGCACACCAATTAACCCTCATCCCCCTGCATTATTAAAAAGGGAGAGGACAGAAGGAAGAAAAGGAAGAGAAAGTTTTACATCTATTAAGATGTTACACACACACACACGAAATTTTTGAATGACATCACATTAAATCCTACTAATGTGGTAAACCCAAGAAAAATCAATGCCCAAGTCATCACCACAGGTGGTAAATCTCATCCCCGGTAGGTTTATGGCAGGTTTCCCTCATTAACACCCATGATATTCCCACTATACCTCGACTTCTCCACTGATCTGAGGCCCTCACTGAGGACGAGCCGGTAGGACACTTCTGGTGGGGCCCAGCCCATCAGAAACGATGGCGATTTAACCACCAAGCATGGTGATTTTACCATGGATTTTTGCTGAGATTCCATGGGAATTTGATAAAGCTTTACCCAGCAAACGTTGGTTTTTGGGTACAATGGGAAGTTAAGGGTGACATGCGTGGTATGTTTCTGCTGATATACTTGGTTTTTGGCTACTAGGAATACATATCGCATATCAAGCAACCAGTATCAGTAAACTGGGCTAGGATAGTTCTTTTCATCCCCATGGCTTGCGACAGGACTTCTTGGGATGGTCCTGTTCAACGAGCGTTGGGGGGCTTGGTTGGGGGCCCTGCTGTGAAAAGAGGGAAGCAAATTGGGATTTAGTAGGGATTTACCCAACGATATTGGATGGAGATTTCCTAATGTATGGTATATTTTTGATATTTACTTGCAAGTCTGGGAAACAATGGTAAACTGGTGGTTCTGGGGATTGTTTGCTATGTTGCTTGCTAAGGTTGTTGATTTTCGATGCTTTCTCCTTATCAGGTGGGTGTTCTGGGTTTTATGTTGGTCTTCTGCCTACCTCTACATTGTCTTTGATGAATTGTTGAGTCCGTTCTCGGGCGTATATGTTGTCAAGTTCACCTGCTAGTTCTTTCCGTTTTTGCTTGGTTTATCCTCAACATCTTGTGAATTTCTGGTAATTTTCATCAATAACTTTGACCTTTGTCTCTTTCATCTTCTTCCACCGTAATTCTATGTGTCATAGTTTCCTTCGTCATATATGAAGTATGTTTCTTTTGGTGTGGTTTGTTGTTGTTGTTGTTGCTGTTGCTGTTGCTGTTGCTGTTGTTGTGGAATCTATCTCTATGTAGTATCATGTTGTTGTTCATGATGGCAAGCAGAGTATGCTGTATCGAAGGTTGTAGATAGATGTTTCATGGTTATAATTGTGAAACAGTGTTGGGCCTTAGAAGCTTAGGGCATACATCTTCCGAGCAGAGAACCCACTTGTGGCAGCAGAGTCCAGAGCAGAGAAAGATTGTATTACTGTATGTTTTGGCTGTTTCAGGCAAGTAGTTCGGCGACACATCGCACCTGGTGTCGCAATGGGCAGTGGGGCTTCTACTTCTACAGCTCAACTCGATCAAAAGGCAGCCCCGGATGGGAAAACGGAGAAGCATCAAAATTGCACCCCAAAAGTGTGCCTAACTTAACCTCTGAAACGGAAAAATGATTTTAGCTACTTGCTGCTGAGGCTCCTGCTGCTGCTGCTGCTGCTGCTGGTGGCTGCTGGTGCTGGTGGCAGCTGGTGGCATTTCTGAAACCCTGCTATAGAACTGATGAGAAACTGGAGGGGATCGAGCGATGAAAGACTTGCCGAGGGCTGCCATTGTTGCTGCCGTTGCTGCTGCTGCTACTGCGGCTGCTGCAGGTATACTGCTGCCTGCCGCTGCTGCTGCGGCTAAAGAATAAAGCTGATAAAAAAACACAAATTGAAGAACGCATCAAACACCATGCCGACGAATCACACTGAAAAACTCCCTAACGTCACTTCTGAAACCCTAGAACTGAGAAACTGAAGGGGATCGAGCGATGAGAGACTTGCCGACTGCTGCTGCCGTTGCTGCTGCCGCTGCTGCCGTTGCTGCTGTTGCTGCCGCTGCTGCTGCGGCTAAAGAAAAAAGATAGCCAAAAAGAAGTCAGTTGAAGAACGCATCAAACAACATGCTGACAAAAGAGTACCAGCAGCAGCTCCCGGCACCAAAACAGCAAGGCACGTCGTCGTCGTCGTCGTCGTCGTCCCAAAGATAAATCATCAAAGCCGTCTTGGAACTATCCATGTATTTTTTGATTATTGGATGAGCCGTTAAGTTGAACAATCAGCCATGAAGATCAATCGCTGTCACGTGTAACAAATGATCAGTATTTAGAGCAAATCCTTTTCAATAAACAGTTTCGAGTAGCTAGTTGTTTGAAAGCCATCTATTAGCCCACTCATCAACCATCGCTTGTTTTTATCATAATCAGGGCCAAGAGTTGCAAAAACATGCAAAAACCTAAACCCATTTGTTGTGTGAAGCACACGCACGAAAGTTTGTGAATTTGATCATTTATTGACAGCGCTAGTTGATGTTGGTTGTTCCCAGTGGTTGATGTTCCTTGTCCAAAGAGCTGCGCCCACAGCAGCTGTTACGATTTTGTTTCCCCATCTTCCAAGCTGGGTTGTGCGGCTTGTTGTGAGGCGCCATCACCACCGAGCCGTGGGATGATCCCGGCGCCCGCAGTTGATAGTTTGCCGGACTTAACGGTGTTCCCGGAGTCGCATGAGGCGATCGACGGCCTGTTGGTAGCGCTTTTGTGTGGTGCCATTTGTTTGCGCGGGGGTATTTAAGCGCCAATTTGTGGTTTTTGTTTAATATTTATTTGGGGTAATGAGCAACAAGAATGGTCAAGAATCGTCAAAAATAGTCATGAATGGTGGCTGTGAGACACATGCAAGCGGACTGAACGGATCACTAGTTTCATGCGTTGATTGACTATCAATCAAAACCGCAGCCACCTGGTTAGTGCTGGGTATAGAAAGTAGATTAATTCAAAATACAACATATTCTTATGTTTGCGCGCTTTGTTTTTAAGCATGCGAAGAGGGTTCTAGCGATGGTGAGTTGACATTTGGGCACGCCCGCGCGTGGTGTACCCCCTAAATGTTGGGTGCCCGTGACTTAGTTAGACTTCTGGGGAGTCAGATAGGGGCATGTATGGACACCTTGTTTTTTGGTTTGAAAACCATCTATCAGCCCACATATCAAGCCAATGTTGACAACAACCATTTATTTTAGTCTTAATCATAATGAGGGTTAATAATTGAAAAACATAAATCAATAAATGCTAAAGCTAAGAAAGTTTGTGAATTTGATCATTTATTGACAGCGCTGGTTGATGTTGGTTGTTCCCAGTGGTTGATGTTCCTTGTCCAAAGAGCTGCGCCCACAGCAGCTGTTACGATTTTGTTTCCCCATCTTCCAAGCTGGGTTGTGCGGCTTGTTGTGAGGCGCCATCACCACCGAGCCGTGGGATGATCCCGGCGCCCGCAGTTGATAGTTTGCCGGGCTTAAGGGCGATCCCGGAGTCGCATGAGGCGATCGACAGCCTGTTGGTAGCGCTTTTGCCATTTGTTTGCGTATTTAAGCGCCAATTTGTGGTTTTGTTTAATATTCATTTAGGGTAATGAGCAACAAGAATGGTCAAGAATAGTCGTTAAGAGTGGCTGTGAAATACATGAACGCGGACTGAGTGAGTGGGTAGCTTTACACGCTGATTGACAATCAAGTAAATAAGCGTGGATAACATGAGGGTTGTGGCATTATGTAAATAAAAATGTTTATGTACCTTTTTTGAAACGCGTACATACGCGTGCAAAAACAGTGGCGCTGGTGGCACCCTGGACCAGATCGATGCCAGCCGGTCGCTGGGGTTTCTGTGCCAGGAAGTTGTGCACTTCGACTTCGACGAGGAACTAGCAGCGATTGAAGAGGAGTCCTGTGGAAATGATTTCCTGCTGACAGAGTTCATGGCAGTTCATGGCAGTTGATGGCAATTGATGGCAGTTGATGGCAGTTTGTTAGGAACCATGATGAACTGGTAGTTACCAACCGGTTATTTAGAACAACAAAAATTAAAGGACCGGATAACCCCACAAGTCAACTTCTTCCTAAAATGAGCTTCAATGGTTTTAGCGGGGACAGGGAAGGAAGGAAAGACAAAAGAGGTGGTGAAAGATCGAGAAGGTATGAATGTATGTATGTATGTATGTAGGTAGGTAGGTAGGTATGTATGTATGTATGTCATGTATGTAGGTATGTAGGGTAAGTTGTTTGTGAGTAGGTTGTTTGTGAGTAAATTGCTCCGCTTTCTTCGAGTTCCACCAGGCTCTGCTATCAAAGCGATGGTGTGCTCACCATACTTCCGCTGACCAAAGTAATGTTCTGCACTCTCTCGGGCGCAGCCGCAAATTTTGCGAACTCTTTCTGCATGCCCTGTGGCTGGCAATCATACCTGGCATATAGTCAGGATCAACTGATGGCGTCATGGATGTGAGATTGTGCCACGCCGCCTGCCACGTGAAATCAAGGTGTATGTCACCAAGTGCCATGAGTGAGGCGCCTGCCACTCACCAAGTGCCACGCCTGCCACGCAAAGTGGCGCGGCGCCCCGGGCGTCACAGGCGACAAATCCTGGCCCAAGGGCGCCACCCAGTACCATAAGTGCCACGCCTGCCACACAAAACGACGGTAGATGTGAGTTTGTGCCACGCCTGCCACGTGAAATGACGGTGGATGTCACCAAGTGCCACGCCTGCCACGCAAAATGCCGCGGCGTCACGGGCGCCTAACCAAGACCAAGCGCGCCACCCAGTGCCATCTGTACCACGCCTGCCACGCAAAACGACGGTAGATGTGAGTTTGTGCCACGCCTGCCACGTGAAATGACGGTGGATGTCACCAAGTACCACGGCTGCCACGCAAAATGCCGCGGCGTCACGGGCGCCTAACCAAGACCAAGCGCGCCACCCAGTGCCATCTGTACCACGCCTGCCACGCAAAACGACGGTAGATGTGAGTTTGTGCCACGCCTGCAAAAATGGGCAGAGTTCGGTTTAGGCAGAAGTAATTTCAAAATCTGGAATTTGTGCTGAATTTCTCCTGGAACAGAGAATAAATCAAGAATTGCGCTGGAAATGGTCCTGGACACGCCACGGCACATCAAGTACAGTGTCACATATTAATGTCACTTAGACTTGAAAAAGGGTTGTTGCGCCTTAGGCCTTGCTTTTTCAAATCAGGGCACTTTTGCTTCCACTTTGTCAATTCAGGTTGTACACTAAAGGGTGTCCTTCCAGAAGTTTATCTTTCAACACGCCAGCAGTTCATTGGGCACTGTTTCATTCGTCCTCAAAACTGTCGAGGTTCGCTTGAAATTGAATTTCTTTGCTGATTGTTTGTATAGATGCTGGTAACAATCCCTTTTCTTGCCAGCAATACGGACAGTCTGTTGGCCTTTTGTGCTACCGACCGGTCCTGTTCAAGATTCGCTGCAGACCGGCAGGTTTCACCGGATGAACTTGAGCGTTTGCGGAAACTGGCCGTGGAAAAGCAGAAAGAAGGAGCAGCCCCGTTGCCGGTGGTGCGCCTTTGCTTCGTCGGTCGAGGTCGCGCAGGGAAAACGACAACTCTAAGGCAGGCACATGAAAGACGTAGATAAATCGTGACTCATGGTGCTGGCTGTTTTGGGGGGTAGCGCCAAGACCCCGCGAGGCGGCTCAAAGGTGAACCATTTCGAGACGAAGAGCCATCCACCCATGGTCTAGATGTTTGGGCCGGCCAAGCTGAAGCCCATCTACAAGCAGACGGAAGCGCAGTTGGCCCGTGGAAGGAATGGAAGGAATCCATGCACCATACTGCTGTCGAGGACGTGTTTGCATGTGCACTTCACACGGTCACTCAGCGAATCCAAAGTTGTTCATGTCCCATAATGGCAAGCAACCCTTTCGTGGTTTTCAGAATCGTTGGCAACAACAATTCCAAGCAGGCAACCAGATCACATGATTCTGTGAGTTCTTCGCTTGCAGATTGATTTGTATCAAAATCTTTGTCTGGGGTGGGGCAATCACAGCCTTCAATGCCCACTTGAAAACTGGTCGAATGCCTTTTGTGATTTGGAACTCGCCGTTTGAGAAAAAAGAGGTAGATTGACACCCCAGAAAATCTATGAAGGTCTAAACGCTCACAGTTCAAAGTTTCGCAGCTATTTCCCCACATGTATCCCTGTGCCAATTAGTAGACAAGCGGAATGGGCCTGCATCAAACTCATTCGTATTTGTGCATGCGGCTCCATGTAGAAAGTAATGCCGTCACACGCCCCGTGGAAATAAACCATACAAGCATAGTTAAACCTAGACTAGATATGCGCAGAGTAGGACTGACGTTTGCGCCGTTTAGAAGCAGCTGTAGACACAGCAGGTTTTGATTCAATAGGGTTTGATTAAGTTTCAAACCGAGAAGATATGTTGCCGCAGCTTCCTCATGTTTCCTTCATGTTGCGAGGACGCTCTTCGGAAGGCACCAGAGGCCGATGTGGAGAATCCGGGGACCGCATACTCTCGTGCAGCGGTTTACGTCAAGCAAAAAAATGATGCCGCTCCGCTCCTTCCACCAGAGACGTGCGGGCCTACGATCATGGATGAGGGTACTCTTTCCAACATCCTTTCCAGAAAGAAAAGCGAAAAAGGCGGCGTAGAGGTGAGATTGCAGTGCTGGGATTTCCCAGGACAAGAAGAATACGCACTGCTGAACCAAATATTTTTTTCCGAGAGGGCAATCTACCTGGTGTTTTTCGACATGACTGGGAAGATGGATGAGGAATGGCGCCATATATGTTTCTGGCTATGGGCCATCGGGATGTTTTCAAAGAAGAAGAACGCAAAACCGCCTATTCTTCTTCTTGGGACTAAAGCTGGGGAACCATATTCGTACAAACTTGATGAGTTAGAACTGCAGAAACGCCTTGAGGATCTGCAGGAAAAAGTCCCCTGGTTAAAGGAACAGCTGCAGCTACATCCGAATGGTTTCTGGCTATTCCCCATCGAAAACAAAGGAACCAGTTCTGAGGCATTCATTAGCCCCTTGCGCCTGCACCTGCAACACGTGGCGTTGCAATTTGTCACTCCACGTGACAGTTTGGAGGCCGATGATGATGCCGTATCAGGATTGGTGGGAGTGCAGGCAAAACTGTACCCGTTGGCCTGGTTACAAGCCCATGATCTGCTGACTCGCCTTGGATCCGGCTTCAGGCTGTTTGGAACTTTGTTTGTTGCGTTGAAGAAGTTGAATTGTGGAATTTGCGGATTGTTTATCATTTTTCTTTGTAGACAGTGGTAAAGTCAGGGTGACATGCAGGAATGAACTTGTGTGAGTTCCGTGCCATGCATTCTCCGTACCCCGTCAGGGCCACAGCTCCGATGGTTGAAGTTGAGAAGGTTGCGCCAGATGCGGAACTCAAATCAGGGCGCAAGCTTGAGATTGCGTCGAATCTGCGGGCAACCCTCTCAGACAAGAGTTGGCTGATTGTGCCAAGGGGATCTTCCATCAAAATTGAAAACGAGGCTGGCGTGGGTGCCAACGGCATCGAGCTGAACTTCCACGTCTTCTGTGACTTTCTGCAGCTGGAAGTAGTTCAACAGCTTCTCGAGGGCATGCAGCCTAGAGGCTTGTCCAACAACGACGCCGAGACAGTTTTGAGGTTGCTTAACCTGTTAGGCACTTTAGTGTGGATGGACCAGCCCGAGCTTCGAAACCTTGTGCTTCTCAATCCACGCCGAGTTGCAGTTGCAATGGCATCATTGATGACCATTTGCTTTGGCCAGGAGAACTTTGAACACAGAGACATGATGATGATTGAGCGCAAAATCACTGAACATCGTAGTGACCTTCTTCGATTCCAGTCAACGGGGATCGCAACGCGCAAGTTGATCAGAGGACTTTGGAAAGAGGACCCCAGGGTCCAAGTGCTTTCAAACCTTGTGTCCTGTGTTGCACAATGGTCAACATAAATTGGGAAACTGCCGCAAGTTGCAGTAGTAAACAGGCAGGGTAATCCTCGAGGGAAACAAAGAGAAGGCTAAAGGCAAGATAAGTTCATGCCCTAAGAGCCTGGGCACGGATTTTGGTCAGCTTGTTGGGAAATCAGCTTGGTGTGGGATCAAGATATGTACAGTAGAGATACTCTAGCAGGAAATCTCAAAGCCTATAGCCCCTATGGGGGCTATTTTGGCTTAGTCCAACCACCTCCAAAAGGCCCTATGCTGCTGTCAACACACTAGCAGCATCCCGTTGTCCTTTACTCAAACACTGCTAGAGGGCCGAAAACATGGAATTTAGGTGCGTAGTTCTTTTCATGTAGAAGTTTGTTCCATTTGATTCCTTCACACCTGCCTGAGATAGCATTATCGATGCCGTTTTTGAACTTCCTGTTCGCAAAGCTCCAGCAAAGCTTTGGTGAACGGCAGGTAGGATAGGCGAAAGTTTGTGCAGGTGTGTATAGGACTCGTGTGAGTTGGAGTCTAGTGGTTGGAGTTGTGCTCATGGCGTCATTAGTTTGAGCCAGTTGCGGTAACTTGATGGCGTTTCATTTTGCCCGCAAGTTTCGCGTGTTGCAGTGTTTGTGTCCATTTGTTTTCTTCCTTTAATTTTACTTTGGAAATCTTTGGAACATGGTGAGTTGTGCAACGTGTGTTGAGCTGGAGGGATTTGTGCCTGCAATCGCAAGGAGTTTCCTGAGGAGAGCCAGCAAGAGCTATTACGGCAGATCTTGCTGGAAAAACATCTGATGTTCGAGCGACTTGTTCAGGATGAGTTCGTTCTTCCAAGTTGTTTACCCGTTGCACACAGCGCAGAAGAGGTCTTAAGAGAGGCAGGCAAAGTCTTGTACCTTGATGTCGGTGGTCTTTTGTCCCCCAATTTCTTCCCGGCGTTGGCGCAGAAGATGTACAGTTGCCAGATCACAAACGACTCTGAAAGCACATGGAAACCAGGACCGCCCCAAGTCTTCCGGAATCGCGGGCACTTTCATGCAGGCACATGTTCAGTGTCAATATCTGTATTTCCAGTCAGTTTGTGCAGAAGCTCCAAGAGTGTATTGCGAATCGTTGTTCAGGGAGGCAACGAACTGAAATACGAAGAAGTTGCCCAAAATGTGAAACATTTGCTAGAGAAAGATATTTTTGGCTTCAATCCTGGATGTGAAGCAGATCCTGCCTCCTTTTTTCAGTTGAAAGCTGTCCCAAAAGAGAACGATGATTTTGAAGGCATTGATTCAGCACTTTGCATGAATGTGGGATGTAAGCAAACATGCTCTCTCTGTAGACTCCGGGCCTTATTGGAAGAGCGTTTCCTACCCGACTTGGACAGTGCCCTCCGCTCTGTTGTGCAAAGCGCTGCCATTTTCGGAAGGCACACACGACCTGCGGGCAGCTTCCGTTTCAAGGCCATGAAATATCCTGGTGATGTTGACCTGGAAGAGTATTTGGCCATAGATGCCAACAGTCGAGATGAGGCCCTGACAGAACTTTGCAGGACCATTCAGACGCAATATGGGAATATCACTGGGGCAGGTGGTGTGGAAGTGTTTTTCGGTGGATTCAAAGCAGGTTTTGAGCCCGCGTCTGAATGTAGCGGTGCAAAAACAAAATACCTGAGTTGGACGCAACAAGACATTTTGTGCTCGTCAACAGAAGCTTTGAAAAAAGCTTTGGGAGAAGGTCATCATACTTGGACTGCCAAGCTTGACATGTTTGCAAAAGTGAATCTTTTTGAGGATTCCAAAGAGACACCTCGCTATTTCGAGGTTACCAATGTCCTGCGAGCTGGTTGGTTCAAAGGGCCTCAACCTATCCAGCCGATCAGCGACGAGAAGGATTTTTTGCAGTCAGTTGAGAAGAATTTGGAGAAGTTTTCAGGCGAGGAACCCAATGCAATGAAGTACGTCAAGCGCCTTTGGGAGAGAAGTGCCTATTTGGCTGAACGAGGATTTGACTTGGAGTGGAACTTGAGCATTTTGGAGGCTCTCCGCCCGCTGCTTGGTCACTGGGTCGCTGAACTCAATCAAGTTGCGGCGCATGTCGAGACCATCATCAATATGATGCAGTCTTCCCACGAGTTGTTTGAACATGCATGTGCCGACCTGCCCATACTTCGCCGCACAGCAGCATGAGTTGTTTGTCCATAATGTATGATAAATGGTAAAGTGTTTGTTGTTTCCCCTTTTGTCAAAGACGATGTAATTTTGCATTCTGATGCATTCTTGATCATGTGCAGTGGATCGTTGCTTGATGTTTTAGAGGTCAGAACTTGAGCAGATTGAAGTCTCGGCTTCACAACATTGATGAGTCAGAGAAGCAGGCTGCAGAAGATGGGCGCGACAGCATTGCAAAAGCAATGGAGTACATCCCGGAGCTGCTACCAGAATCGCCACCAGAAGCTCCGAAAGAGAAAGACATGTTACGTACATTCCTGCATAAAGCACAGCTGTTGTTGGAAAGCTGCGTTGAGACCGTCTTGATCGGAAAATTGGGTTCTTTCGAAGTTCCAGTGGCCAAACCACTCGGCAAGCTCTGGACGTTTCCATCAGACCACCCTCCCATTGCAGCTATGCTCAAACTCGGTGAGAACTCCATCAAGGTTGCTTCCTGGAATGTTCTGAACCGGAACTATTATAAATACATAGATAAAGACACACAAGGACTCAAAGGCTCGGAAATAACAATGCAGCATGAAGCTGGTACAAGAGAGAGCAAGATCATTGAGAAGATCGAAGAGATGCTACAGAACGATTTCCGAATATTGTGCTTACAAGAATGCTGGCCGGAGTTGCTTCAGCAGCTTGGAGAAGCTTTGGAGGAAAGACAACCTGAAGTTCAGATGCGCTGCAGCGGAGAAGACAAGAACCAAGAGGCAGTACTTTGCATGTGTTAGGACATCTTGTTTTCCATATCCAACATCCAACAGAAAATCGCAGCATTTTGCCTCATACCTCTGGCAATTGTTGGACTCAGCCCCTGTATCCGCCCCTTGCAGGCAATCCTTTTCCATTCCGACCATGTTTACTTTCGGGAACGTATTCATTTTCATCGCGCCTTCAGAGAGAATTTCAAGAAGGCGGGTTGTTTGCTTGAAGCTGGTACCATACACTTAGTCGGTGTAGGCAAGGTTTAGTTTCTTGCTTCTTTTGCCAGTGCAGGTGGTGACTGAGGCCCATTTCAAACATGCTGGGATGGGCCTTTTGCGTGTTGTGACAACGTGCTTTGGCTGCACCTCTTTCCAAGAGGGTGTGTGAAACCGCTCAATGTGAACTGCACACTCAACACCCCTCCGCCAAGGCATCTACCCGGCGCTCCTTTTGGGCGCGCTCGCAAAGAATTCGCCGATTGCATAGCTGGGATTGTCAAGGGCGAGAAGCTGCCAACTGTACTGCTGGCAGATCTGAACTTTCCCGAAAAGGCCTTCGGAGGAAAGGGTGTGAGCGGCACGAGTGACAGGATATGACAGCACGCCCCAAGACCCTTGAAATCCCTTGAAGTATGCTTAAATTGTCAACAGGGTATGACAAGCATTCTGTGTCCTTCAACTTTTGTTTTAGCAGAAACGTTTTGGTCTATGAACAGAGATAAAGGGTACCACTTTCGAGGATTGAATCGCTGCAGAACAGCCATTGCTGCAGATAGCACAGTACCTCCACGTGGCAGGCCATACAACCTCTTTTGCTTGATCATGACCTTGACGTATCCTTCGTCCCGACACCTTATCCAACGAACATTTGCCAGGCCTGGCAGTCAAGAGTCGAGTGAATATTAAGCAAGCATATGGGCCCCTGATTTTGATAGTGATGAGGACTTCTTTAACAAACCTTAGCAGCGCCGAGAGCTAATAAGATGGCGTTTATAGGTTGCACACAGACCACAGGAAACTATACCCAGAAGTGCTTGCACGGATGTTCAACCATTCTCTTTATTCCTTGCTCAAATCTTTGGATCCGGTACCGTTGAACTGTGCTTTGAACGCCTGCCTTTGTGTTCAGGGGTCCTTGCTGCCGAAGAGGATTGATAGCATTGCAGTCATCAACCACGAGGCAGGGGCTTTCCAAGATGCCGTGCATTGATAGCTTTGCACCTTACATGGTCTCACCACGTGGTTGAGGTCAAAGGCGCAACGCTCCAAGCCACAGCTCTGAAAGCTGAAGACGTCCTCGATGGTCTCAGAGAAGTTGTGGACCTCTTGAAATCCAGGCCCATGCTTTGATGTTGCCTCAAACTTGTGCTGCGGGCTGGCTGTTGCCATATTGCAGATGGCTGATCTTAAGTTCAAAATGATTGGTGGTTGGCTTTGGTCTGTCCCATCCACAGCATCCGAACATATACGAACATCCTACTCTACAAATCTCTACAAATCCAACAAGTCCAAGTAGCAGGGGAATTGCTACAGGGTGTCATTTGCAAAGCCCACAGTTGCCTTTGCTGTCAGAAACGTTTGTCGCCAATTGTTGTATAGGTCAGCAGAGCCATGGACGCCAACGCGATACCAATCAGATAAGGCAGGCCAAGCGATTTGGGAGTCGCTTTGTCTCATGAAGGTCTGCAGGAGTTTGAGAAATGGGGACGAACATCTCGACGGGTGGCTCAAAAAAAAATCGGATTTGGTAGTGGAAATTGTAGAAGCTGGTATGAAACTAACTTCAAATACGAAGCAAAAGTATAGATTGAACACGATTGAGCAAAAATTATCCCTGAGTGATGCCTGAGTGAGAAAAAAAAATAAACAAAAGAATTCCACAAAAGGGCATAACATCATCCCAAGCGGACTAGGCGGCTTGAGTACATCATAGTCGCAGAATCATGCCTGTAAACAGAGGATAAGGTGTGCGCCGTGCGCATGGGTATTTATCATGGCCAAAGCTTCGTCCGTGCCACCACCCCTGCCGCCGCCATTGCAGCAGAAGAAAATCAATAGGAGAAACCTTCGACATAAAATCTGCTCAGGGATGCATCTGTTGATTTCCCAGGTTCAGTGAATATATATTTTTAGATGTGCAGCTGCAGGAAAAACGATCTTGCGCAATATTGCCGGAAAATCACACACCGCGACTTTTATTGGACGCATCAACTTGGCAGGTTGAAGATGCAAGCTTTGAACCATGTAAATGAAGACATGCGTTCTGAATTGTGATGGATGCAGACTTTGGCTGGCAACTGGTTCTACTTAGGGCGTGAACGAACGAATTTGCCCCCAATCTGTTCTGAAATCGAGCGGTCTTTCTTCCATGGGGTTGGCTTGGGAGGAGTCACATTTGCTCTTACACTTCAATTTTGTGTCAACGTATCTTGGACAACAGGACGAAAGGATAGGATTTCTCATTAAATCTCTGCCTGAACATTCCTTCGGTCAATTGTTTTTGGTAGTTTTGGAGTATGGCCTAAAATTATACCCAGTTTTCAGAATCTCGTCTAATTCTACTAGTTTGCCTGGTTTTGCTTCCTAGTGGCCACACTATCACCACAAATGACATTTTGAATATGACTGAACATGGCTTGCATCCTGGCTGCGTCCCAGGGACATACCACCCTGAACTTCCAAAGTGCCCAGTTAAACTTGCACGTTCTAGAAAGTACATGATTCACTGAAAGTAGCCTTTTCACTTGACCCTGAACAATGATATAGAATGGATATGTATTGATATACACACATATATATATACACACCCCAGTAGAACCCTTAAGATATCCACCAACCACTACAGTATCAGCACAAACGTCCCGGAAGCAAGAACCTGTATACATATACCATGGAGAAACTAGAAGGATAAACACATATATCATTTATAAGTGATCTTGGGCCCCTGACTCATCAGAACCATTGACTTCAGCTTTCGCCCTGAGTGCCCTTTCTCGCGCTTTCCGGAGAGACTCTTGCACGTTCATGGTCCCCGGATCAGTAATAGTGTTGGCTATGAACCTGGCTACTGAATAAATTCACGATTGAAGAAACATGTTTTAAAAGTTTATTGATGACTCCAAAATCACAAGTTTTTCACGCACTTTCACGGTGAAATCACGGGTTTTTCACGCACTTTTCACGCTGAAATCACGCTTGAGTTTTTTCAAGGAAATTTCAGAATTTTTGAATTTGAGCGTGAAAATCGCACTTTCCACGACACACTCGCACGTTTTAATTGCACATGAATAGAAACCCCGTGGCCTTTCCCAACCCCTAAACTTAGAAATCTAGAGGGAAAGAAGGGGTATACCTACCATTAGCAATCTCATCTTTTATGTGTGCCTTGAGAGGTTCAATATTTTGCCCAATGTGCAGCCGACGCACAAAATTGTGCGCTACATTTGTTCATCTAAGGAAGTAGGGACATTTTGAGCCTTCATCAATCCTGCCATGCCCTAATTAATGACAGCTTCCAATGTATACAGCCCATATCGGTCCATTTGCTAGCCAAGTAAAACATGAACGGTGTGAAAGGTTCAAGTTAAACTGGTACTTTGTCAAGGTGCCCAGTTAAACTTGCACGCGGAAGTTCTGGGCCAGGCCATTCTCAGATCCCGAGCATTCTAATATCCCGAGCACCAACGCATATAAATGCACATAACTGCGCCCAAAATTACCCGCAAAACACACGCAAAAATCCGCCAAACGCCCGCAAAAACCCGCAAACGCCCGCAAATCCAAGAATCTGGTAAATTTGTATAATTTTGGGAGCGCGCAATTAAACAGAAACCAACTTGGATGTGCGGCTCCATATTTTGAAGCAAAATGCTGGTGAGAAGATTGGGAGGAGGGCCATGCCGTTGGGAAACACAGCCATGACATACCACGCCTAACTTTTTGGGGAAACGCTCGATACCGATACGACCATAAATTTGATGAAACGCCTGGCAAAACGATGTATATTTTTTAGGAGTTGGAAGGCCCAGGTGCAGATGTTCAATTTCATTCCTTGGCCTCATCTCAGATGTTGATTTTTATCCCTTGTGTTATCTTACTTGACAAGATGTTCGTCCCTATATTAGTTTTAATGTGGTACCTTTGTCTCTGGTTTCATCTCATCTCAGATGTTTGTTCATTCCTCAGTCGCATCATACAACCTCCACCGTGTTATGCGGTCTTGCACCAAGTCATGTTATGGCATTCCTGTCGGTCAATTTGTTTTGCAGTCTTATCTATATTTGTGTATTTAAGAAAGGTGGTGTGTGTGTGTGGGTGTGCTTCAGGTATCTTTTTGAGCATCATTTCAGCATCATCAGCTTGGAAACCCATGCCAGATGTATAAATAAGAATATATATATATATTTGCAAATATTATCAGATCATTTTATTCAGTTTAAAATTTAGATATTCATGCTCGTGATTGTATCAAACTTCCCACATACAGCACCCCTTTTTTTGAACATCATCCCCATGTTTGGGGTAGAGGTTTGCTCCCATCAGTACATAGTGATCCCGACTTATGACTGCAAATCATGCCGTGAATGATCACGCCCCTTTTCTGGCGGGATGTTCGGATGTAATTCGCCATAATGGTTGTGGACATCATCTACCCCCCTTCTCTCCGGATAATCAAATACCATAACTATCACCTCAGTTCTTTGTGAGATGTTTTTGACATGTATGTCAACCTACTACTAATGGCATATGTAATAATATCTGAGTCTTCTCCACTTGTTTTGTCATGTACGTTCTGCTTACTTTGCCATTTTACGATAATTTTCTTCATTTTTGTTTCTCGGATTTTGTTTGGAGGACCCTTCGGGCAGGTGGTCCATGAACTTCACGTGACCCCCAACGAAAGAACGAAAGTACGACGAAAGAACGAACTGAACGCTGTGGTGATGTGGAGGTGGTCACTTTAGTTATAGATAATATGCTCATATGTTGATATTACTTCATGATTTGATATAGTATAGATGAGATGGCGGATGGTTGTTGCAGCAACAAACCCACAGCAACAACAGTGTCTCTGCGAGATTCTTAGGATGTGAAAGGTCACGAAGGCTTAAGATGTATAAACAATCCCACGTATCAATTCCACCACACGGGCTGGTTCCACCGGCCCCATCTTGCCATGACTCCAGGTACACCATTGGCCCAGAAGGCAACGAAGGGATCTTTGATGGAAAGGTGCAGCTGTTGGATCGACATGTGTTGGGACCTCAGCAATTATTCGGGATGCATCAAATGTTACCTACAAACAGAAAGCATTGGTAAGCGCATTTGCACATGAGGGTTGGCCAGTTGCTCACGATGTTTTCTTTTGTCAGATTCCCTTTGAAAGATGCAACAGTCATTCACCCGTGCTTTCTCTTTTCAATGTCATCTGAGGTACAACTCCGTGAGTGCCGCCGTCAACTACTTGAATGATGGCCTTAGTGCCTCCACCTCAGCATGGCAAAGCATGGCAAGTTGTGGCTTGCAGCCTGGCAACATCTGGCAACATCTGGCAACATCTGGCAACACGGGTACAGCATGTCACTATATTACTGAGGTGGTTCCCGAAGGGTACTGCGTGGTGTTCTCCGGTTCCCAACAAAGCCTGGGACTTGGCCTGCAGACATCGCCTATGAATTATGGAACGCATGGAACGCATGGAAGTTGAGCCGTGGAGCCGTGCTGGAGCTGTGACAAACTGAGATTACTACCTACTTTGGCGAGAAGACAAGAAAGCCGAAGTCTTTTCTTTGCACTTGTCTCAGGACAATTGTTCGTTCCCATTTTCATGGCATTTCATGGCACGGCGATGAAGTTTCAACAGAAGCACTGAATCCACTGCCGCGAAGTTTGGTCACTGGGAGTCACTGGGGAATCACTGGAATAGATGCTGGCTGTCTCAGGCTGGGTTTGAGCGATCAGTGTCCTGGACGCACAGATAGACCAATGTCGCACCAATGTTGCGACACCGTTGAGAGAAACAAAATCCCATTGATCGATCTATATATTTGTGCAAACCTTGCCGGCTTGCACGGGTTATTGAAAATAAAGCTTACCCAAAAAGGGGGTTTGAATGGTTTTGACGTTTTCAGGTTTGCCAGAACAATGTGTGAATGATCATTGAATGATCATTGAATGATTTCAATGTCACACATTTCGGTTTCATTTCAAGAAATTCACCGATCATTTTTCATTCTTATTTCAGTCGCATATTTTCTCCAGGACATTTCACACATTTGTTTCACTTATTTCACGCATTTATTTCAGAAATGGTTCTGGTTTCAGCGATTTCCGTGGCTTCGGCTGCAATCCCCTGAGGTGAGCAGACCACGGGTCGCGAAAACAGCGACTGATTTGGCCAGAGATCTCCAGAAATCTGAATTTCGATCTCCACGGATCCGAATCCTCGCAATCCTACAGGGAATCAGAAATCCACGGCCTATCCTTCAGAACCTTGTGACCTGGTCACCTGGTCATCTGGTCCAACAGAGTTTTTGGAACGTCGGACTGGTAACATGTTTGAACCACTGCAATGGGGCCAGAAAGTTTCCAACGATCAAGTATATCAAGTTGCACTGAAAGTCAACGATGGATCCAATAAACATCAACCCATGTTTCTTAATTATCCTATGTTTTACACTCTTGAAGATCTTGAAGCGATCCAGGCTCCTACCTTGGGTATACCCTGAACAATCTGTCTCCCTGGGTGTCTCGCACCACGGTGCATACACTGGTGTAGGATATGAAACTTTCCATGAGCTTGAATTTGCTCATGACCACCGGTTGCCCTTGTTTCCGATTAGGCTCTGCGAGCAGTGGCCACCAGCGCCGTAGAACAACGAACGAGGCATCTATCAGAATCAATTCGTGTTCAAAAATGGCCTGGTGTACATAGATGATCGGCAGATGACTCAGGCCCAATGGGTTGCTGATCAGATCGCTGAATCAGTGGCGCGCATGGGAATCTTCTCCAGCTAAACTGTCTTCAAATAGATTGCTACAGAATTATGCTTGAAAAATCAGAGCAGATTGTTGGAGAATGTTCCTGGAGCCTCCTCAGCTCATTCTTTCTCTGCCACTCAATTCGCAAAAAGATGCGCAGAGCATCCGATACAGACGCTGTCACAAGGATTTATATTAAATATAGTTGAAACGGATAGGTTTCCAGTTTTGACCGGATTTTTGCCCATCTTAGGGAGCCCGTGATGTCAAAGGCCTAAAAGACTACCGGTATGCCAATTGGCAATCCCACCTCGTGTCACATTTGTTCGCTCCGAAGTCAACGTTGTACTTGGCCAAGCTCACAACTTGTCAATGAGGGTTCGACATTGATAGGGACTCAACCTTTGCAGCTCATTTGGGACCTGTACAGACATTTGTCAAATCTCCTTTGCTCATTCCCTTCCTTACATAACGCGCTTTGCAGCTCCACAGTGGAACAAGGCTTGATGATGTGGACTGTGGAACCTCTGTGGCTAAACGCAGGCAGCTGGGACCCGGCTGCGAGCAGTTTCCAAACCTAGTGGAGTGGTTTTGCTCAGCTTATCCTCATCCCTATCAGCCCTATATCAACCCTATCTTCCAATTTGCTTGATCCTCATAGATCCACTGTGCTTCAGATATGTTCGGATTGTTTTTTCAAGTTGATAATGTAGTGGAATGTAGTGGAACACCAGTCAAAACGGGGGCCGCTCACCCACGTGGATGCCCTGCAAGGCTGACATAACAGCGATGCCATTCTGGACTTGATCAAGTTTACACAGGCGAGTAACCGATGGTTGGCGTGCGGCATGCCTGACATGGACACATCATATATGGACATGTTGGATGGTGGAGTGGGTGAATCTTCCCCTACGGGCGAAGCAGATGCTTCGGAGAATTGCATCAATACCTGCCTGTGCCAGCTGAATGTTAGAAGCGACGCGGGCAGACTACTTACTGTTGAAAGCCAGTACAACCGCAAAGTGCAATGTGAATGTATGTTTTGGGATTGTTTCCCCTTCCAAAAACAGTACCTTTTCCATCCTTTTCCTGGCAGATCTGACCCTTCAACCTCAGCTCACTCGCAGGGGCAGTACCAAGAGCGCCCTGCTGTCTGCAGTTTGACGACCGAAAAAAGATGCGGACGGTTGGTCAGTGAAGTTGTTGCCCAGTCAAAGCCCAATCAACCCGGAAGATATCCCCAGTTATATCTCACTCGGTTGTGGGCATTAATGATCTGGTCAAGCACTAACGTTGCATGATTCTATTGCTGCGGTGGAAACATCATCACGAAGAGCAGCGGGCAAGCTTTCTGGATGGTTCCAAGCATATGCAGGTAGATTTTTCATGTTTCATGACGATGGTGATGATGATGATGATGATGATGAAGATGAAATGGTCTTGCCCCTTTTCTCAAGGTTTATCCCTGGTTCATCTTTCCTGTGTTCATTCAGAAGCGACGTGCTGTATCGATAGTTTCACTAAAGACTGGCACTCCGATGATACACACATGCGGATTCTAATCCAAAACGGTCAGAAAAAGATGGAAACGCATTCAGTACTACTATGTGCTACTTTGTGCTACTTAAGCATTTCATCTATTTTGTGAAAACAACGTGGAAACAAGGCTTCAAACCAATCTCCAGAACTTCCGAGGCAAACAAGAATGGTAGAAAACTTCAACACAATGCGACATAATGAACTAGGCACTGAGTCTGGAAGGTCGTTTGGAACACCACGAAGTGTAAAGTGTAAACTTACAGGATCTGATGTTTCAGAGTTGTCCCTTTAGCACTGTACATGGGCCTTGGCAAAACAGTCACTGCCCATGTTTGCAGTTTGGATTTCCGCCCTATGGCTGCAGCTGACCAGTCGAGTCATTCGAGTGGCTTGGTGCTATCCGTCATTGCCCTTTTCTGATGCTTTTTGACGTTGTTTCTCAACATTTTTTTTGCATTATATAAATAACTATAATCCCTATATTACATCCGTATTATATATGGTTTGAATATTGTCCCTCAATACCGAGTGATTTACGGATGTAATAAGGATGTAATTATATATACCACATTAATCAAACCACAATGATTTACAATAGGGATTTTGCCTTGTCATTTGATTGCGATTGAGACATTTTCTCCTGAACATGTCTCCTGGAAGCTCCAGTCATCTCCAGCCATCTTGCCAGCAACTTTTGGATGGAACACAGGGTATCATGGTTGAAAAAACGAGTGGTTTTCAACTAGTCAAAAGGCCATGGTCCATGGTTATGGTTCAACCTCAAAGGGTATCATGGTTCAAATCACCATGTGGATTTCACTTGAAGCTACCAGAGAAGCTAGACCGTGTCAGGGCTCCAGAGGACGAAGAAACCTAAGCCTGCTCAGGCCTCGCCTGTCATCAGCTTCTTTCATCCGCTTTATTTACAGAAAAGTCTTGCCCGCTAACCGAAGAATTCGGCCAACACTGTGCTTAGAAGGGCAGGATGGCGGGCCTCGTCCGTAATGAGATTCTTGAACTTTTCATCAGCCGATAGTGGTGAATAGGGTGAAAACAACAGCTTCAACGGCGCTTAGCACTTCTGGCGCACAGTTCTCTTTCACTCCAGGCGCAAACAGAGCACCAGCTGGCGCAGTCCCAGAGGCGACATCGGAGTGTTGAGCCACTGATTTGGTGATTTGGTTGTTGCATCTTCTTGTTTTTGCCCAAAATGCTGACTTCCAAGAGTTTAACAATCCAACATAATCCAACTCTGTAATCATTTTCCGCCTCATCTTTTCAATCTTTTCAAGTGTCTCACAAGTTGGATCAACGCCGAGCCAGGGTGAGATGGAGCTTGGCCCTGAGCCTCCTGAAACACACAGATTGCTGCAAGATGTTTAGAAGGCCGGAGTTTTTTGTGCTTGGCAAACCTTCGGGCCCAGTCATGACATATGAAAGATCACAAAAGAATTATCCTCTGGTAAATTAACATAGACCCTGAAAATTGCAATTTTTAACTGGAAACTAATCTTCCAAACCCCTGGCAGGGTCTGTGTTAATTTACCATAGGGTAGAACATAATCAGACCTCGTAGTTCAATGGATGAACATCCAGCTATACTGTAGCTATGTTGAGATGACAACTAGGATAACTAGGGGACCAGGGTGAATTGACCTCACATTGTTGATCCACCAGTGGAAGGAGGGTGCCAGTCTCAATCATTATTTCCTACCTACCTTGCGGCAACACGCGGTACATCGTACCAAGTGGCTATCAAACATAGCACTGTGAAATTCTCCCAGGCTGGGCACCAAAAATTCCAAATCATCCGCCGGATAGCCTGGATTTCAAATGTTTGACCGATACGGCCCCTTGAAATATGGTGGGCGAAACCGACCAATATGGGTCTGTGGCGTTCAAAATCTTTTTCGAGACCAATTTATGAGCGGGTTATCTGACCGTGATAACGCGAAAGCTGTGTGAACTTTAGAACACAGGCATTATGACCACGGCTCATGTGGGATTTGACCGGTCAAGTATGGATCCACCTAACTCCAACCAGGTGACATGACAGCCTTCGACTTGGCCTTGAAGAAGTACGCTCCCGACCGGTTGCGGACTTGTGGAGGCGGGGTGTGGCGAACCACCTACCATGCAGGAGAAAGCTTCCACAGCAGGTTTTTGAAACTGCCTCAATTTCTGATGGCTGGAGAAAGATGACTTGGACATTGATCTGATAACTTCAATCTGCTGAAGAATTTTGTTCGGGTTCAGTCAGAGCATCTTCCCTGGCAAGTTTGTGCAACGTGTGTACTAGTAGATACAAATAATGAGGTGATGTGATTAGGCGTTGAAGTGCGTAGGTATAGATCTAGAATCCAGAGTACGCTTCAAACTCAAATTGTACTCTTGACTTCTGCACCCGGTTCAGTGCACAAGCATGTTTTGTTTCTTTGGTGGTTGCGCAGTGGCGACGCTTCAGCTATCTAACCCACCATCAAATTTGATCCTCCAAACTTGAGACAAGAAACACAAGGCCCCACAAAGGTACTACGCTTCTGCAGAAGTGTGACATGATCTGAGACCTGCAAATCTTATCGAGTCTTGGATGTTTCCTTTTTTCCGGATGATCGAGAAAGGGTGTGATTTTCTGGTGATAATGTTGATGATGATTTAGGATTAATGTAGTCTCTTTTGCTTGAATTTCCGGATGATTTTTTTGAACAATTCTCGCTCCAGGAGGAAGGCCTTGTCAGGATCGCCACCCAATGACAGCCACCATGAGGCGAAGCACTTGTGCCCTGGGCCTTGAGAACTGGGGTTGCTGGGGTTGGGCGCGGTCATCTGAAGTTAGTTGTCGTAGGCGGCCGAGCTAAATGACGATCTGAAGAATACTTTGCCGCAGTCAAGCCGTTGGATTAAAATGTTTTGAACTCCTGCAGCTGTACTGGCTTGCATCTTTCTTGAAGCATGCTTCAGGTGCACTTGATTCACGTGCCATGTGATTTGCATGGGCTGCATCAAGCCAGTTTGTCCCAGAAAACCCATTGGAATCTGCTTCACGTGACCAGTCCTGAACAGTACTCGTTTCACCACACGTGTTCTCGTTTCCGCCTGGCGATGGCCACACGAAAAAACATCTGTGAAATCTCAGGTGGGATCTCAGGGGTGTCAGCCATGTCACGAATCATGTTCCTTTTCCATGATGGCAATCCACATGGTCAGTCTGCAGGTTGACCAACTTCGTCGTTTCAACCATCTCCGCTATATCGATCAGCTGGATCCTCTGGGCTTCCCTGGAGGCCGACTGAGCAAGATGGGCGCTTTCAACCTCTCTGTCTGTTAGTCCAGATTTACGATGATGCAGCATGGGAGCTTGTTCCCTTCATCGTTGGGTGTTTGTTAATGGGTTCAATATTGTTCAATTTTCTGTTCGCACCCAACACACCTTTTTCCGGCTTTTGTAAAGGGACCATGGTTGAGGCATTGACCTTGTCTCAGTCAGAGCTTTTGCAAAGTGGTTCTTTGCAGCACAGTGCTCACAGCCAATATGAAGTGCACCTCAGTCATGTAGCCAGGTTTGGTGCAGAATCAGCTGAAATCTCTAACCCCAGAAGGGTTTCAGTTGGCAAAGGCACAGTCGTCAATCACAGTTGAGCCATTTGAGGTCTCCTTTCATGTTCCGCCAGGCCAACGAGACTGAGGCAAAAGCATGTCCAGATCTCAGGCTTTTGAAGTTTTCTAATCATCTTCCACTTCAGATACCGGTAGAACTTGCATGCGCCCTGCACCACCCAGGCCTGTGCGTGCATGCTTTTTGCGAACCTGCTGCGCTGTTGTTGTCAATGAACATGACCCGCACACATTCACGTTGTAATGCAACATCAGGCGACACATTGCGTTCCAAAGGTCGCACTTGAAACTGCACACTTCAGACTCCACACTTCGTCTTCATCTCATCTCATCTGAGCTCTTCTCATTTCATCTAATCTCTTCTCATCTAATCTAAGCTCTTCTCATCTCTTCGCATATGTCATCCAAGTTATTCTCAACCATTTTTATCTCATCTGAGCACTGCTCAATCTTTCTCATCTCATCGCAGCTCTTCTTAACTCATCTCAGCTCTTCGTACGTCAGAAAGCTTTTACTGTCAGAGAAAGCTCTTACACACAATAAGCGTTGCACGCAGAAAGCTTTTGCACAGACAAGCTTTTGCACACAGAAGCTTTTAGACACAGATTTACACAGAAAACCTTCTACAAAGAGAAGCTTTTGCACATGGGATGCATTTACACAGAGAAGCTTTTCCACACAGAAAGCTTTTACACACAGCAAGCTTTTACACAAAGACCCTCGTACGCACAGGAAGGCAACAGAATGCACAAAATACTTCCCTGTACTACTTTGAGCTACAAGACTTGCGCAATTTTCTTCCCAGCTACACGAGATCACAAACAAAAAGGAGACTAAGACCACTCTACACAAGACTAGACCACACTAGACCACACTACACAACACTAGACTACACCAGACCACACACACAAAACGAGACTAAGACCAGTCTACACAAGACTAGACTACACTAGACCCCACACACACACACAAAACGAGACTAAGACCACTCTACACAAGACTAGACTTCACTTGACATTAGACAAGACTAGATTTCGCTAGACCACACTACACAAGACTGGACCACGAGAACACACGTCACAAGACTGGACTAGAGTAGACCACGCTACACAAAACGAGACTCCACAAGTCGCCATTAATGTATTTGTCCGTAACTCAGAAGATTGCTTCCCAACTTCCTCTGATGGTTCAAGCATCACCAAAGTTCAATAATTTTCAACCTTGCATTACGTTGCCAAGTACATCAACAGCTTGAGCGCCCAAACGCACGATTCTTTTTCCTACTGCAGGCATTTCTGCCTCCGCAAGAATGTCTACACTGTAGATGCCATGTTGCCCCTTGTGCAATCCACCGCAACCACCGCATGTTAGGCTCCTGTTGAAAGTGTCCACAGCCAAGTTGCCAAACCCTGGTACTTCAAACCCAAAATGATTCACGCAGCAGACTTTTTTTTTGCGTTCGCATATTGGGAAAACATCAGAACTCGCTGTTGTTACGCCACACTAGGCGCACCTTGAGCCCATGTTTGCGAAGATGACGCCATGACCCAACTTTTTCAAAAAACCATCTTGAGACACTGCCAGCTCCCCACCCCAAGTTGGAATTAATGTGAGGAAAGTAATATGAGAGGAAGCGATGTGAGGGGAAATCATTTGAAGTGACGAGACAGTGTGAGGTGAGATAAGGTGGGGAGGACACTGTCAAAAAGTCCGTAATTGAGAGTTTATATATCTACGAAACTTTCTTTGACAATGGTTCATTTGAGCCACGCTGTATCTTTCTTTTATTCCACTGAGTTTCAATTATGCCCATAGTCACTTGTTCCCACTTTAAGAGCAAGAGTTGAGAGTCATGTTTCAGACAGACGAGCTGAGTTGCATTAAAGTAGTGCCGCGAGATGAAGGCAGCTCAATTGATGTGACCTTGAGGTGCGACCGTCCTATCACTGGCGAGCTTGAGCCCCTCAAAGTCATTGGCTTCATCAAGCCGGACGAGTTTCTTGCGATGTGGGTTCTGATGCATGCAGCATGCGAGAGTTGCCAAGATCGGTTGGACCGAGCACGTGCCTAGTTGACAAAATGGCCGACTTCACGAGTTTGCTCTTTGAATCCATAAATTTGATTCCTCATCCACTGGGGTATGCCTTGACCTTCAAAACCCGTTTTTGGTTGGCAACACGAGGCAGCGATGAAGACGCATCGAAAGGGTGGGACAGGTGTGGCCCCGATCTTCAACTTGGCCCGTTCCGACATGATGACACGATCGAAATCGCACATTTGGATGCAGAATGGAGTATCGTCGAGAACTTCAAGATACGGTTCGATAAGCTTCCACTGTCCCGCAGAGTGCCCGCATCGTCGAAGACATCCTTCAGGGTAAAGATTCTTGATTTTCAGTTGGTGTGATGATGTGTGCGCGTTTCTTTTGCCTTGATTTGTGCTTGGTGTTCCTTGTCACAGAATATGCGACTTTGTTCGAAAGAAAGTCTTGTCGCTATGTTTGTTCAATGGAAAGGATGCAGGGGGAAGAGCATCACTTCGAACGACTTAAGCCAAATCCAGCTCCACAGCGCCTGCAGGCAGCGCCACGGCCGGGTACAGCTCAGAGGATATGAATGTAACCGAGTGCTTTCAAGGTGATTTCCACAGTTAGGAAACCACATCGACTTGGATTTCTTTCCGAAGAAAGATTAATGAAGTATTGTGGTTATTTGGTTGATTTTCTGTTGCTTGCAGATACGATAGTTCGTACAACTGTGCATAGTTTGGTTGGACAGAACTGTTTCCCAGTGGGACATAGTGGGACATCTATGAAACTAGCTGCATTTGGCAACGCACTTGGCTATAGTCACGGACACACCGTTAGAACTCATGCTGGGAAATGTCCGTTCTCACACTTAGAACGTGATCAACACCCCACACCTTTGGAACGGAAAGAACATCGCAAGATATTTGTTTAATTTAGGCCCTCGATGTTCTAACTGTGAGAAACTTTGCCACCAAGCTTTGTCACCTTGACGACATCCAATATATCATGAAATTGCCACTGCGGACCATTCATGACACAGGATATGGGCATGAAAGTATGTCCTAGGTTGATTTGGAAAACCTGTTATAAGTTATAACTGCATTTTGAATACATAATATACAGAAAGGGGTACATGTTGGAGCAGCTTGTAAGTAGCTCAAAATCAGCATCTTGCAAGATTTGCACAAAGCCGGCCCAAGGTTTGCGCTGAGAAAAAAAATGGTAGGGATACGTTGCGTGCAAGATTCGCGGCAGATTCTAGGCTCATCCCTTTGTTGCATTGACAGAAGAAGTTGCTATGGAAAGAAATCCTCATTAGAAGATGTCCAAAGTACTGACGGGAAGCAAAAAGTATTTTGGGACGATGACTCAGAGGTGTGGGGAAAGCACACATGCAAATGGTGCGCGAAAACTTTTGCACAAAAAAGAGGTGAACAGTTAGACGTATTTAGAAGTGGGGGTGTGGGTGCCCAAGATAGGCACAAGTCATGGTTTGCTGAATGCCGGCCCAAATGCAGTTTTTAAATTGAAGAAACAGGACAACCCTCATGTCATGTGTTCCCATCTCACTGCTCCTCCTTTATCCTTCACTTTCTGTCCGCAACCCCCCCCTGGCGGATGGAGTAATGTCCGTATCACCGAATCAGCGTCGGAGCTATATCCTCGATCTGTGTCACTGATCAGTGCCACAGGTCAGAATCTGCTTGGATTCCTAGCAAGACTTCTGCGGTGTCTGAGTAGGTGTATTTTCCAACTAATGTATCCAAAAAACTGATCCAGTGTATTCCAAGATAATTTCATGACAATTCCTTTCATCTTGGCCTTCGGATTCCATCCCATATCATCCAAAGATAAATCTCCAAAGCCTGGGGAAAATGGGCAGAGTTCTGTTTAGGCAGAAGTAATTTCAAGAAAATGGAATATTTTCCTACGTCCTACGGGCAATACCAAAATCTGGAATTTGTGCTGAATTTCTCCTGGATTTAACCTGGAAATGGTCCTGACATGTTCTGGACATGCCACGGCACATCGAGTACAGTGTCACATAAGGAAAACTAGGTTTGAAAAAGCGTTGTTGCGCCTTAGGCCTTGCTTTTTCTAATCAGGGCACTTTTGCTTCCACTTTGTCAAGTCAGGTTGTGCACTATAGTTTGTCCTTCCAGAAGTTTATCTTTCAACACGCCATCACTTCATTGGGCACTGTTTCATTCGTCCTCAAAACCCTGGAGGTTTGCTTGAAATTGAACTTCTTTGCTTAGCATTTTTAGGGATTGTTTGTACAGATGCTGGTAACAATGACAATGCCTTTTCTTGCCAGCAATACGGACAGTCTATTGGCCTTTTGTGCTACCGACCGGTCCTGTTCAAGATTCGCTGCAGACCGGCAGGTGTCACCGGAAGAACTTGAGCGTTTGCGGGAACTCGCAGTGGAAAAGCAGAAAGAAGGAGCAGCCCCGTTGCCGGTGGTGCGCCTTTGCTTCGTCGGTCGAGGTCGCGCAGGGAAGACGACAACTCTAAGGCAGGCGCATGAAAGACGTAGATAAATCGTGACTCATGGTGCTGGCTGTTTTGGGGGGTAGCGCCAAGACCCCGCGAGGCGGCTCAAAGGTGAACCATTTCGAGACGAAGAGCCATCCACCCATGGTCTAGATGTTTGGGCCGGCCAAGCTGAAGCCCATCTACAAGCACACGGAAGCGCAGCTGGCCCGTGGAAGGAATGGAAGGAATCCATGCACCATACTGCTGTCAAGGACGTGTTTGCATGTGCACTTCACTTGGTCACTCAGCGAATCCAAAGTTGTTCATGTCCCATATGGCAAGCAACCCTTTCGTGGTTTTCAGAATCGTTGGCAACGACAATTCCAAGCAGGCAACCAGATCACATGATTCTGTGAGTTCTTCGCTTGCAGATTGATTTGTATCAAAATCTTTGTCTGGGGTGGGGCAATCACATTCTTCAATGCCAACTTGAAAACTGGTCGAATGCCATTTGTGATTTGGAACTCGCCGTTTTGAGAAAAAAAGAGGTAGATTGACACTATTGACACCCCAGAAAATCTATGAAGGTCTAAACGCTCACAGTTCAAAGTTTCGCAGCTATTTCCCCACATGTATCCCTGTGCCAATTAGTAGACAAGCGGAATGGGCCTGCATCAAACTCATTCGTATTTGTGCACGCGGCTCCATGTAGAAAGTAATGCCGTCACACGCCTTGTGGAAATAAACCATACAAGCCATAGTTAAACCTACGTAGATTAGATACGCGCAGAGTAGGACTGACGCTTGCGCCGTTTAGAAGCAGCTGTAGACACAGCAGGTTTTGATTCGACAGGGTTTGATTAAGTTTCAAATCGATAAGATATGTTGCCACAGCTTCCTCATGTTTCCTTCATGTTGCGAGGACGCTCTTCGGAAGGCACCAGAGGCCGATGTGGAGAATCCGGGGACCGCATACTCTCGTGCAGCGGCTTACGTCAAGCAAAAAAATGATGCCGCTCCGCTCCTTCCACCAGAGACGTGCGGGCCTACGATCATGGATGATGATACAATTTCCAACATCCTTTCCAGCGAGAAAAGCGAAAAAGACGGCGTAGAGGTGAGATTGCAGTGCTGGGATTTCCCAGGACAAGAAGAATACGCACTGCTGAACCAAATATTTTTTTCCGAGAGGGCAATCTACCTGGTGTTTTTCGACGTGACTGGGAAGATGGATGAGGAATGGCGCCATATATGTTTCTGGCTATGGGCCATCGGGATGTTTTCAAAGAAGAAGAACGCAAAACCGCCTATTCTTCTTCTTGGGACTAAAGCTGGGGAACCATATTCGTACAAACTTGATGAGTTAGAACTGCAGAAACGCCTTAAGGATCTGCAGGAAAAAGTCCCCTGGTTAAAGGAACAGCTGCAGCTACATCCGAATGGTTTGCGTGACAGAAACTGCTGGCTATTCCCCATCGAAAACAAAGGAATCAATTCTGAGGAATTCATCCGCCCCTTGCGCCGGCACCTGCAACACATGGTGCTGCAATTCGTCACTCCACGTGACAGTTTGGAGGCCGATGATGATGCCGTATCAGGATTGGTGGGAGTGCAGGCAAAGCGGTACCCGTTGGCCTGGTTACAAGCCCATGATCTGCTGACTCGCCTTGGATCCGGCTTCAGGCTGTTTGGAACTTTGTTTGTTGCGTTGAAGAAGTTGAATAGTGGAATTTGTGGATTTTTCTATGTGTAGACTCTGTATAGACAGTGGTAAAGTGGTCGAAAGACGATAACGGCGATTCAGAAACTACGATTCAGAAACTATTTCCACCGATTCCAAACCTATCGCGATTCAGAAACTACGATTCAGAAACTATCGCGATTCAGAAACTATCGCGCTTCAGAAACCATCACGATTCAGAAACTATCGCGATTCAGAAAGTATCGCGATTCAGAAACTACGATTCAGAAACTACCACGATTCAGAAACTACGATTCAGAAACTATGATTCAGAAACTATCGCGATTCAGAAACTACGATTCAGAAACGATCGCGTTTCAGAAATGCACGCTTCAGAAACTATCGCGATTCAGAAAGTATCGCGCTTCAGAAACGATCACGATTCAGAAGCTATCGCTTCAGAAAGTATCGCGATTCAGAAACTACGATTCAGAAACGATCGCGATTCAGAAACTACGATTCAGAAACGATCGCGGTTCAGAAATTACGATTCAGAAACCATCACGATTCAGAAACTATGGCGATTCAGAAACTATCGACCTTCAGAAACTAAGGAGAATGATATCAAAATTCCCACCCGCATGGAACTTCAAATTGACTTGGACTGTCCACAAGGATAAGATGCTACCAAAGTTCCTACCTCCATGGAACATCAAATTGACTTGGACTGTCCAAGAGGATCAGATGATATCAAAATTCCCACCCCGATGGAACTTCAAATTGACTTGGACTGTCCACAAGGATAAGATGATATCAACATTCCCACCCCTATGGAACTTCAATTTGACTTGGACTGTCCACAAGGAAAAGACGATGTCTAAATTCCCACCCCCATGGAACTTCAAATTGACTTGGACCGTCCATGAGGATCAGATGATATCAAAATTCCCACCCCCATGGAACTTCAAATTGACTTGGATTGTCCACGAGGATCAGATGATATCAAAATTGCCACCCCCATGGAACTTCAAATTGGCTTGGGCTTTCCACACGGATAAGATGATATCAAAATTCCCACCCCTATAGAACTTCAATAAGATGATATCAAAATTCCACCCCCATGGAACTTCAAATTGACTTGGACCGTCCACGAGGATCAGATGATATCAAAATTGCCACCCCCATGGAACTTCAAATTGGCTTGGGCTTTCCACAAGGATAAGATGATATCAAAATTCCCACCCCCATGGAACTTCAAATTGATTTGGACTGTCCGCAAGGACAAGATGATATCAAAATTCTCACCCCCTTGGAACTTCAAATAGACTTCGACTGTCCAAGAGGATCAGATGATATCAAAATTCTCACCTTCATGGAACTTCAAATTGACTTGGACTGTCCACAAGGATAAGATGATATCAACATTCCCACCCCCATGGAACTTCAATTTGACTTGGACTGTCCACAAGGAAAAGACGATGTCTAAATTCCCACCCCCATGGAACTTCAAATTGACTTGGGCAGTCCATTGTGTTGCACAATTAGTTTCCGAATCTGCGGTCTTAGTTTCCGAATCCGCGCTTTTAGTTTCCGAATATATCCGAATCTTTGTTTCTGAATCCGCGGTTTCAGTTTCCGAATCTTGGTTTCCGAATCCGAGTGCAGTTTCCGAATCTGCGGCTTTAGTTTCCAAATCCGTGTTTTAGTTTCCGAATCCGCGTTTTTAGTTTCCGAATCCGCGCGTGACCGTGGTAAAGTCATGGCAACATGCAGGAATGAACTTGTGTGAGTTCACCATCCGTGCCATGCATTCTCCGTACCCCGTCAGGGCCACAGCTCCGATGGTTGAAGTTAAGAAGGTTGCGCAAGATGAGGACCTCGAATCAGGGCGCAAGCTTGAGATCGCGTCGAATCTGCGGGCAACCCTCTCAGACAAGAGTTGGCTGATTGTGCCAAGGGGATCTTCCATCAAAATTGAAAACGAGGTTGGTGTGGGTGCCAACGGCATCGAGCTGAACTTCCACGTCTCCTGTGACTTTCTGGAGCTGGAAGTAGTTCAACAGCTTCTCAAGGGCATGCAGCCTACAGGCTTGTCCAACGACGACGCCGAGACAGTTTTGAGGTTGCTGAACCTGTTAGGCACTTTAGTGTGGATGGACCAGCCCGAGCTTCGAAACCTTGTGCTGCTAAATCCACGCCGAGTTGCAGTTGCAATGGCATCATTGATGACCATTTGCTTTGGCCAGGAGAACTTTGAACACAGAGATATGATGATGATTGAGCGCAAAATCACTGAACATCGTAGTGATCTTCTTCGGTTCCAGTCGACAGGGATCGCAACGCGCAAGTTGATCAGAGGACTTTGGAAAGAGGATCCCAGGGTCCAAATGCTTTCAAACCTTGTGTCCTGTGTTGCACAATGGTCAACATAAATTGGGAAACTGGGAAACTGCCGCAAGTTACAGTAGTAAACAGGCAGGGTAATCCTCGAGGGAAACAAACCTATAGCCAAACAATCCTATGGGGACTATTTTGGCTTGCAACCACCTCCAAAAGGCTCTATGCTGCTGTCAACACACTAGCAGCATCCCTTTGTCCTTTACTCAAGCTCTGCTAGAGGGCCAGAAACCGGCCACCTGAGGATAAAAAAGGCCTTGCCATAGAATTTAGGTGCGTAGTTCTTTTCATGTAGAAGTTTGTTCCATTTGATTCCTTCACACCTGCCTGAGATAGCATTATCGATGCCGTTTTTGAACTTCCTGTTCGCAAAGCTCCAGCAAAGCTTTGGTGAACGGCGGGTAGGATAGGCGCAAGTTTGCGCAGGTGTGTATAGGACTCGTGTGAGTTGGAGTCTAGTGGTTGGTGTTGTGCTCATGGCGTCAGAGCCAGTTGCGGTAACTTGATGGCCTTTCATTTTGCCCGCAAGTTTCGCGTGTTGCAGTGTTTGTGTCCATTTGTTTTCTTCCTTTAATTTTACTTTGGAACATGTTGAGTTGTGCAACGTGTGTTGAGCTGGAGGGATTTGTGCCTGCAATCGCAAGGAGTTTCCTGAGGAGAGCCAGCAAGAGCTAATACGGCAGATCTTGCTGGAAAAACATCTGATGTTCGAGCGACTTGTTCAGGATGAGTTCGTTCTTCCAAGTTGTTTGCCCATTGCACACAGCGCAGAAGAGGTCTTAAGAGAGGCAGGCAAAGTCTTGTACCTTGATGTCGGTGGTCTTTTGTCCCCAAATTTCTTCCCGGCGTTGGCGCAGAAGATGTACAGTTGCCAGATCACAAACGACTCTGAAAGCACATGGAAACCAGGACCGCCCCAAGTCTTCCGGAATCGCGGGCACTTTCATGCAGGCACCTGTTCAGTGTCAATATCTCTATTCCCAGTCAGTCTGTGCAGAAGCTCCAAGAGTCTTTTGCGAATCGTTGTTCAGGGAGGCAACGAACTGAAATACGAAGAAGTTGCCCAAAAGGTGAAACATTTGCTAGAAAATGACATTTTCGGTTTCAATCCTGGATGTGAAACAGATCCTGCCTCCATTTTTCAGTTGAAAGCTATCCCAATTACTTCAGCACTTTGCATGAATGTGGGATGTCAGCAAACATGCTCTCTCTGTAGACTCCGGGCCTTATTGGAAGAGCGTTTCCTACCCGACTTGGACAGTGCACTCCGCTCTGTTGTGCAAAGGGCTGCCATTTTTGGAAGGCACACACGACCTGCGGGCAGCTTCCGTTTCAAGGCTATGAAATATCCTGGTGATGTTGACCTGGAAGAGTATTTGGCCATAGATGCCAACAGTCGAGATGAGGCCCTGACAGAACTTTGCAGGACCATTCAGACGCAATATGGGAATATCACTAGGGCAGGTGGTGTGGAAGTGTTTTTCGGTGGATTCAAAGCAGGTTTTGGGCCCGCGTCTGAATGTAGCGGTGCAAAAAAAGAATACCTGAGTTGGACGCAACAAAACATTTGCTCGTCAACAGAAGCTTTGGAAAAAGCTTTGGGAGAAGGTCATCATACTTGGACTGCCAAGCTTGACATGTTTGCAAAAGTGAATCTCTTTTTGAAGATTCCAAAGAGACACCTCGCTATTTTGAGGTTACCAATGTCCTGCGAGCTGGTTGGTTCAAAGGGCCTCAACCTATCCAGCCGATCAGCGACGAGAAGGATTTTTTGCAGTCAGTTGAGAAGAATTTGGAGAAGTTTTCAGGCGAGGAACCCAATGCAATGAAGTACGTCAAGCGCCTTTGGGAGAGAAGTGCCTATTTAGCGGAGCGAGGATTTGACTTGGAGTGGAACTTGAGCATTTTGGAGGCTCTCCGCCCGCTGTTTGGTCACTGGGTCGCTGAACTCAATCAAGTTGCGGCGCATGTCGAGACCATCATCAATATGATGCAGTCTTCCCACGAGTTGTTTGAACATGCATGTGCCGACCTGCCCATACTTCGCCGCACAGCAGCATGAGTTGTTTGTCCAAAAGGTAATAATGTATGATAAAGTGTTTGTTGTTTCCCCTTTTGTCCAAGACGATGTAATTTTGCATTCTGATGCATTCTTGATCATGTGCAGTGGATCATTGCTTGATGTTTTAGAGGTCAGAACTTGAGCAGATTGAAGTCTCGGCTTCACAACATTGATGAGTCAGAGAAGCAGGCTGCAGAAGATGGGCGCGACAGCATTGCAAAAGCACTGAAGTACATCCCGGAGCTGCTACCAGAATCATCACCAGAAGCTGCGAAAGAGAAAGACATGTTACGTACATTCCTGCATAAAGCACAGCTGTTGTTGGAAAGCTGCGTTGAGACCGTCTTGATCGGAAAATTGGGTTCTTTCGAAGTTCCAGTGGCCAAACCACTCGGCAAGCTCTGGACGTTTCCATCAGACCACCCTCCCATTGCAGCTATGCTCAAACTCGGTGAGAACTCCATCAAGGTTGCTTCCTGGAATGTTCTGAACCGGAACTATTATAAATACATAGACAAAGACACACAAGGACTCAAAGGCTCGGAAATAACAATGCAGCATGACGCTGGTACAAGAGAGAGCAAGATCATTGAGAAGATCGAAGAGATGCTACAGAACGATTTCCGAATATTGTGCTTACAAGAATGCTGGCCGGAGTTGCTTCAGCAGCTTGGAGAAGCTTTGGAGGAAAGACAACCTGAAGTTCAGATGCGCTGCAGCGGAGAAGACAAGAACCAAGAGGCAATACTTTGCATGTGTTAGGACATCTTGTTTTCCATATCCAACATCCAACAGAAAATCGCAGCATTTTGCCTCATACCTCTGGCAATTGTTGGACTCAGCATCTGTATCCGCCCCTTGCAGGCAATCCTTTTCCATTCCGACCATGTTTACTTTCGGGAACGTATTCATTTTCATCGCGCCTTCAGAGAAAATTCCAAGAAGGCGGGTTGTTTGCTTGAAGCTGGTACCATACACTTCGTCGGTGTAGGCAAGGTTTTGTTTCTTTCTTCTTTTGCCAGTGCAGGTGGTGACTGAGGCCCATTTCAAACATGTCGGGATGGGCCTTTTGCGTGTTGTGACAACGTGCTTTGGCTGCACCTCTTTCCAAGAGGGTGTGTGAAACCGCTCCTCTCAATGTGAACTGCACACTCAACACCCCTCCGCCAAGGCATCTACCCGGCGCTCCTTTTGGGCGCGCTCGCAAAGAATTTGCCGATTGCATAGCTGGGATTGTCAAGGGCGAGAAGCTGCCAACTGTACTGCTGGCAGATCTGAACTTTCCCGAAAAGGCCTTCTGAGGAAAGGGTGTGAGCGGCACGAGTGACAGGATATGACATGACAGCAAGCCCCAAGACCCTTGAAATCCCTTGAAGTATGCTTAAATTGTCAACAGCGTATGACAAGCATTCTGTGTCCTTCAACTTTTGTTTTCGCAGAAACGTTTTGGTCTATGAACAGAGATAAAAGGGTACCACTTTCGAGGATTGAATCGCTGCAGAACAGCCATTGCTGCAGATAGCACAGTACCTCCACGTGGCAGGCCATACAACCTCTTTTGCTTGATCATGACCTTGACGTATCCTTCGTCCCGACACCTTATCCAACGAACATTTGCCAGGCCTGGCAGTCAAGAGTCGAGTGAATATTAAGCAAGCACATGGGGCCCCCGATTTTGATAGTGATGTGGACTTCTTTAACAAACCTTAGCGGCGCCGGGAACTAATAAGATGGCGTTTATAGGTTGCACACAGACAACAGGAAACTATACCCAGAAGTGCTTGCACGGACGTTCAACCATTCTCTTTATTCCTCGCTCAAATCTGTGGATCCGGTACCGTTGAACTGTGCTTTGAATGCCTGCCTTTGCCCCCAGGGGTCCTTGCTGCCGAAGAGGATTGATAGCATTGCAGTCATCAACCACGAGGCAGGGGCTTTCCAAGATGCCGTGCATTGATAGCTTTGCACCTTACATGGTCTCACCACGTGGTTAAGGTCAAAGGCGCAAAGCTCCAAGCCACAGCTCTGAAAGCTGAAGACGTCCTCGATGGTCTCAGAGAAGTTGTGGACCTCTTGAAATCCAGGCCCATGCTTTGATGTTGCCTCAAACTTGTGCTGCGGGCTGGCTGTTGCCATATTGCAGATGGCTGATCTTAAGTTCAAAATGATTGGTGGTTGGCTTTGGTCTGTCCCATCCACAGCATCCGAACATATACGAACATCCTACTCTACAAATCTCTACAAATCCAACAAGTCCAAGTAGCAGGGGGATTGCTATAGGGTGTCATTTGCAAAGCCCACAGTTGCCTTTGCTGTCAGAAACGTTTGTCGCCAATTGTTGTATAGGTCAGCAGAGCCATGGACGCCAACGCGATACCAATCAGATAAGGCTGGCCAAGCGATTTGGGAGTCGCTTTGTCTCATGAAGGTCTGCAGGAGTTTGAGAAATGGGGACGAACATCTCGACGGGTGGCTCAAAAAAAAATCGGATTTGGTAGTGGAAATTGTAGAAGCTGGTATGAAACTAACTTCAAATACGAAGCAAAAGTATAGATTGAACACGATTGAGCAAAAATTATCCCTGAGTGATGCCTGAGTGAGAAAAAAAAATAAACAAAAGAATTCCACAAAAGGGCATAACATCATCCCAAGCGGACTAGGCGGCTTGAGTACATCATAGTCGCAGAATCATGCCTGTAAACAGAGGATAAGGTGTGCGCCGTGCGCATGGGTATTTATCATGGCCAAAGCTTCGTCCGTGCCACCACCCCTGCCGCCGCCATTGCAGCAGAAGAAAATCAATAGGAGAAACCTTCGACATAAAATCTGCTCAGGGATGCATCTGTTGATTTCCCAGGTTCAGTGAATATATTTTTTTAGATGTGCAGCTGCAGGAAAAACGATCTTGCGCAATATTGCCGGAAAATCACACACCGCGACTTTTATTGGACGCATCAACTTGGCAGGTTGAAGATGCAAGCTTTGAACCATGTAAATGAAGACATGCGTTCTGAATTGTGATGGATGCAGACTTTGGCTGGCAACTGGTTCTACTTAGGGCGTGAACGAACGAATTTGCCCCCAATCTGTTCTGAAATCGAGCGGTCTTTCTTCCATGGGGTTGGCTTGGGAGGAGTCACATTTGCTCTCACACTTCAATTTTGTGTCAACGTATCTTGGACAACAGGACGAAAGGATAGGATTTCTCATTAAATCTCTGCCTGAACATTCCTTCGGTCAATTGTTTTTGGTAGTTTTGGAGTATGGCCTAAAATTATACCCAGTTTTCAGAATCTCGTCTAATTCTACTAGTTTGCCTGGTTTTGCTTCCTAGTGGCCACACTATCACCACAATTGACATTTTGAATATGACTGAACATGGCTTGCATCCTGGCTGCGTCCCAGGGACATACCACCCTGAACTTCCAAAGTGCCCAGTTAAACTTGCACGTTCTAGAAAGTACATGATTCACTGAAAGTAGCCTTTTCACTTGACCCTGAACAATGATATAGAATGGATATGTATTGATATATACACACAGCGGTAGCACATGTAACAACTGAATGTTACGGCCATTATTGGCTCAAGCGCCCGCAAGAGGAAAACGGCCGCGCGCTGACTGCAATGCCTGGGTGAGGTTCGGTAATAACCAGCACATAAGGTACTACCATTCGACTACATCCGGAGCAAGGATTCATTTGTTCACAGGTTATCAGCCGTAGGGGCTCACTTCTCCCGCCGGGAGAGTAGTACCTGCGTGCTGGTAGCCGGGCCTTCTGAGCAATTGATTGAGGACGCAAAGGACCAATCAGCTCATCATCGCAAAGATGCAAGGCGGCAGCGGAGATTCGCGCACCACGCAGTTTACCTTCAATGAGAACACTGCTATGCCGGTCGAGGAGGTCAATCAATCTTCACCTGGCGACACGGCAGACAGTGGCGGGATACGCTCTACCCGAACTACACAGTCCGGATGGCAAGTTACATCAAACAGACGAAGAATATCCACCCAAAGCACACCTAGATCTTCTCGAAACAGTGCTCGAAGCGATGTTGTCCGCCAAGGGCATCGACCATCTCGAGGACGCACTACTCCAAGGGACAGATCCACCAGGGCCGTGACCGACCGAATTGGTGAGAGGACCGGGGATAGTCGTGTTAAGAGGAGATCAACGGATACTTCTGTGGCTAGTGAACCTATTGCCATGATAGAAGAACTACGGGCACAATGTCAATCCCTACGTAATCAGTTGAACCAAATGGAAGCATACGCTGCATCTAGAGATCAACTGATTCATGACATCGAGATCAGATTCACCGAGTATCTTCAGGAACACAACCAGAATGTATTTGATGAGGTCAATGCACTCAATCATAGATTGTCATGTTCCGCAAATGAGGTTGCAGAATATCAAGCAGAACTAATGGTAGCATCTCAGGAAGACGAAGGTGCAACAATACGCATCCAAGACCTTGAACGCCGAGGGGCCCTAATGGAACATGGTGCACGACGGATCCATCAACGTGGTATGGAGATCCAGGAGGAGTACAAGGATGAAGTACATCACCTTCAAGGACTATTGGGTAATACGGAGGCAAGACTGCAACAACTTCATCAAACCAATGTCTTAACCACCGATATTGCCAATCGACTATACAACGAAGGTCAAGAAATGCAAACAGATTTCCAGAACTCAATCATGGAATATCGTAATCGATCCGAAATGGCATCCTTCTCTAGCAATCAACTTGAAGTGATTAGCCAACAACAATCAATTGCAGTTCATGAATTATCTGAACGGAACCAACTATTGAGTGAAGCTTTAGTTCAGTCTCGTAAACAGGCCGAGCTGTATGAAAGCAGTATCGACGAGATCACTAGAGAATCTAGGAAGAAGGTTTTCGAGGCAAATCAGGCCAAATTGGAAAGTGATCTGAAGCATCGAAATACTGAACATGATACCGTCAGAAGAATTGCATCATACAGGAACCAAGAGGCCGAAGCAATATCACACCTGAGGCTTGAATCACAGGCTAGTGCAAACTCAATCGCAAGGGCAGAGCACTATGAAGAGCTCTACGCCAACGAGCAGAAGATGAACTGCGAATTGAAGGATGAGATCAAGTTGCAGAACACGAAGTTGCGAAGATCGTTGACTCAGGGTACTACGACCGACGGTCGTGGCCCCGATGAGATGCTTGTTGAAGATCTACGTAATCAAGCTAAAATCGCTCAAATCAGGGTTCAGGATCTAGATCATGAAGTTCATGAATGTTTACAAGAGAATTTATTGTTAAAAGAGAGATTGGCTGAAGTTACGGATGTAGGGGCGTCGTCCCTCACCAACGCTGAGGTCCGAACTCTAAAATCTGAACTAGAGAGTGAGCGCAAAATGAAGTTGGCTAGTGGTGTTCAGCAATATGAGAGATCATGCATGTTCATGGGGGAAATCCAGGATAGGGATGAAAAGATCGGTATTAAGAATTCTGAGATTGTTGACATGAAACGTCACTTAGATGAACTGAGAAAGAGTCTCAAGGATTCTGAAGCATCTATATCTAGGGTCAGCCCTGACACACTTCCCTATTCGGCAGGCATTCCCAACTATGATCTCGCATCAAGACTAGTCATCGACAAACTGGAGAATGACGTGAGTGAGGCTAACTGTGAAAACGCTATTCTGAAATCTTGGGTTTCGCAGATCGATAAGGAGTTGACCTATGAGACAAATATGGCTCATTCCTATCGCGGACATGCTGTACCTCCTCAACAACAACCTTCTCAATCAAACAAAAGAATCACTGATCTGCTGAAAGAGGTCGACAACAAGATCGCTGATGGAACTGAGAGGGACTATTACAAGCCACCGAGTGGATGGGGCGGTCCGCCTGATCCTGATGGACCTCCGGACCCTTTCGGGCCTAACGGTCCTGGACCACCTCCCGAACCTCCAGGTTTGCCTTCAGTTCGAGGATCACAACGCGATTCAGCAGATGATGTCTCCACAGCGGCTTACACTGCAGAAGAAGTGCCGAGAATGTCAAGACGGGAGGCTGACAAAGTCTATGTTAGCCCATGGCCGAAACAACAGAATCTTGGGGTTTGGCAATCAGATCTCATCAAGAGTGTTGTTCTTTCTGCAAATGATGGGGACAAAGCCGCATGGGAAGCATGGCTACAGCCGGCTATTCGACCAAATCCTGACATCGAGCTATTAAATGACAGTGGAGGGCAACGGTATCAGTCAATCGACGCCAAGTTGTCAATTGCATTGTCAAATGTGATAGCCCAAGCCGGTGATGTTGCTCGTCATGTAGCGATCAAATTGAGATTGAGGACACAAAGTCATAGTCGAAGAGGAACCTATGTCATGGGACGGGAAATCTTGGCTATGATCCTGGAGCACTTCAGAACCCCAGGTCAACGAGAGACAGCCTTCACCATGGAGCACATCGTATCGATGAAATATCTCGGTGACTCAAACCTGGAAGTGTTCTACGAGAAATGGATGGAGATGGTATCAAACATGATGCCGGATGATGTACCTCCTGATGATTGGCTTCGTGATGCTCTATACAAGAAGATTCGAAATTCGAGTCTTATGATGTTTGACATCAAGCAGTACGAGTCATGGATTGAAGGAGACCAAAGACGAAACTATCGCTATCTATTGGACGTCATCGAAAGACACATCTCCAGAATTAGAGAGGACAAGCATGTGGCCGCCAGAGAGAAGTATGCAAGAGACTTTGCAGGTGGCGGCAAACCTTCAGCTCCTGCCCCAAATCCAACTGCTGCTGCACCGGATGCAAATCCAAAAGCGAAGCCTAAAGCTACTCCCAAGGAGAAGGCAGCACCCAAGGCGAAGGCCAAGGCCGATGCAGCTCCAGTTCTACCATCACCTCAGCCTAAACAGCATGCAAAAGGAAAAGGAAAAGGTCAAGGGAAAGGAAAGGATCGAGCAAACAGCCGAAGTACCAGCCCTAGATCCAAGAAGAAGATCCCATGCCATTTCCATTTCATCAAGAAATCATGCAGGAAAGGTAAAGATTGTGAGTATAGTCATGATCAAAAGGTGTTTGATGCGAATAAGAACGCAAAAGGGAATGGTCGGAAGCCAGGAACTCCAAGAAGTCAATCTCCGGCGAACAAGACCAAGAAGGTTGATGAACCATGCTGGCATTGGGCTAAGGGCAAGTGTCGGTATGGAGACAAATGCAACAAACGCCACGATCCTCATCTATTCAACACTGCTCCAAATACCGAAGCACCAAGCTCAAAGGCTACTCCTGCACTTATCCATGATTGGAGTGATGACGAAGGAACGTTCCACAAGGTTGCATCGAACGTGATCAAGAAGAAGGTCAGATTTGATGAGTCTAAGACTCAAGTTCAAACTTACGTGAAGAAGGACTTCGTGAAGTGCAGCCGGAAATCCCAAACTATCTCCAAGGGTCATGGTAAGGTTGGCAAGCCCACTGATCAGATAAAGAAGGATGAGCAATGGTCTTATTCATGCAGGCTAGCTTCGAGCCGAGGGAAAGCAATGGCTATCCTGATCGATGAGAAGGGTGAATACAGTGACATTGATGAAGTCCTGGTCATCGTCGGCCCTAGCATGGACATTCTGATCAGACTCGACATCGAGGACGGTGAGGTGTCCAGGGAAGTCTTTGTGGAAAACTATGTTCAGCATATTGAAGGTCGATATGGTAAAAGGGGCAACACAATGTGCATCACTGTTCCTGTTGAGGAGAGAGATAAGAGATTCATATTGGATTCTGGAAGTGGTCATGATCTCAT